CTGAAAGGCTGGGTGGGTTGAATCTTCACTATGACCACATCTACCCAAAGAACTATTCATTAATGTTCAATATAGTGTTTAATCGTTGCGCAAGATGGTTCGAGCTGCTACCGCCTTACGTTCTTCAAGCAAATAATAGTAAGTCGTTCAAGAGCAGGCTGAGTGAGCTTGACCTCTTGCGCATCTTAAGAATACCTGACTTGGTTTAACCTCGGTTACTTTCTCGTCTTTCTTTCTCGTGTTTCAGTCTCAACGCTGGGTGTCTGGTCAATGTCTTCTAGTGCGTGGTTGGTTCGTTCACAACCGGTGGTCTATCTTGCAAGATGATAAGAAACTGTTGCGTTAGCTGGACAAACTTTGTATTCAGGGAGTGACTGAATACTCCCGTCTATTATTTGCTATTTCATGATTGAGATCAGGTCACGTACTTCGGCAATATGTTCTTAGGCACCTTCTCTTGCTAATACCATTTGGTAATAGGAGGCTGTAGGCTGGTTAATTAAAAGTATGCTTTGGAGAACGGCCGCGGGCTCGAACTGTGTTACCAGTTGTTTGATGAGCCGGAGGGGTGATGAACCCCTCGCTTGAGGTCCCCCTTGGTTTGTTCGCCTGGGGTCCCGGACGAATTCGTTCGTAACGGGTTAAGTTGTCAGCAAGCCCCAGTACTGTCGTCTAATCCTTGCGTTCAGAACCAAGGACCAGGATCTCGCGGGGGACTCTTTCATCTGCCTGAAGGGGAAAACAGCCTTACACTACACACAAGGAAGGTCCCGGTGATTTTTCTGATTCCGCTTCGAAACACAGCCTATATGCTTTACCTAGATTTCCTTTGAATTATTCCTAATTTTTTTTGCTCATTTAAATGATATTGTGTTGTTTCCAAATGTTTTATTCTTTTTTTATCAGTATACCTGGCTGTATTATGCACTAACTGTGTTGGTTTCACTTTCCCATAACTTGTGGCGCACCCTTGAGTGTATATCAATAAATAATAAACAATAAACGGGCGAAATTTGTAGGCAGGCGTTATGGAAGGGAAGGGCGGGGGGGGTGGGAGAGTGGTGCTGAGACCCTTATCCAGAGCAGGTCGTACTGGCACCCTTTCGAAGGGGGGGGGTCGTACCTACACCACCACCTCACAGATCGCGACGCTGTACCCTGTGTGGGGCTGAGGG